TTGTTTTCCTGAATTACTACCTCGTCTTACAGCCTCATCCACTGTAATCTTGTACCTTTGTATTTGCCGTTTGTTTGTGCCAAAGAAGTTATTCACTTAGGACCATTGGAAATACAATATTTTTGCTTGAGAAGTAAGCAGGTGTGATGTAAGAAGGAAGGGACTGAGTTTTGTTTAAGGTATCTTATGAATGTTAGAAGATTATATGGAACAACAAATAGCTTTTGTGAGTGATTTAATGCCAAAACATAACATTTTATGTGTCTCCAATGTAGTTTGTCCTTTGTGCTAAAAAATAGGAGATAAATAAAGAATTCATAAACAAACCCGGAAATAAATAAGAAGCTAAAATTGTTAATTTGTTTGCTCCTGTATGCTTTTTTTTTTTTTCCCAGTATGATTAGAGGAGTGATAAAACTTAACAGTGCATAAGCTAGCAAAAGCATGATGGCAGATTGGAGGCCTGCAACATCTGAAATGATACACAGTCCTGGGAAAGGCAGAGCAGTCAGTAACAGAGAAAAGGGGTAGACAGGAAAATCTGGGGAATATGCACATCACCCCAGCTGAAACTGGCAAAGGCAGGACAGCACAGAATTAACAAGGTGTGAGGAGATAAGGAGGAAGGTGAGAAACAAAGAGATGGAGGAAGTGAGTAGCTAACCATTCTAATTAGAGAAAGGCAGCAAGTTTCCAGCTGGTTCAAAGCATCTACCTGCCTCTTCAGATTATCAGCCTGTGATGGCTGTTGTCTTGGTCCCATAGCTTTTGCTTACAAATCCTCCCTCCCACTGTTGCTGGTGATCAATCTGTGAAGTTCTTTGGTGAAGGATGTGCCATCTGGGAAAACTCCTCACTCTGTGATAGAAGACAACCCCCCGTGACTTGGATATGACTGTTCACAGTTTGTACTGAGGGGTGCATGTACTCTGTGTACCGTACAATTTAGCTAATGCAAACAATAAACAACCAATTAAGTATGTCAAACACTGCATGCTCAACAGAGAATTTCATAACAGTACAGTTTGTTGCCTGTTTTCTTTCTATATGAAGCAACAGGCTTTCTTTGAGGGGAGGACTGGCACTGTAGGGTCCACCAAGAAGGTAATGCCAATGAAGAAAAATAGTTTTAATGACAATTCTCACTGTGGTGTTTCAGTTTAATCATTACTTCAGTTTGAGATTAGTCTTCCAAGAAATATGTAGGCAGGGTCTTGATAAGTGTCTGGAATTCTTTGAAGTCATGAGTGGAAAGAAATTGTTAGGCTCTGCAGGTTGTTCAGACCTGATCCATTTCCTTCAACTGAATGTCTAGTAGATTTGCTTTTGATTCCTCTATTCTGTAATCACAAAACCATTTATAGCAAGAAAAGCCAAAGAGCAAGGATGATATTCATATATTATTCTACATTACTCAAAAAGAAGTCACAGTATAAGAGGTGGTGTGTGTTAGTTAGAAAGTATGATACTTTTACTTTTATTTGCGTGTGATTTGTTGTTACTTGAAAGTTAGTGTTAGTTCCTCAATTTTTACTCCAGTGGTGTTTGGCAGTACATGCTAGGGCATGCTAATCTCTTCCACATTATTCATGTGTTATGTATTGCACGAATTTGAGGAGGTTCTTAGTAGCTTATGTGAAGTAAAGGAGTAGTCTCAAGCCATTTACTCAACAGGTATCCATATTTAAACAAAAACCAAAACCAATACTTGGTTTTGTTACAAATATAAATTTTACAAATACCAATTGTTACAAAACCAATACTCCATATACTTGGCAGCTGGAGTTTAGTCATTAAAGCTTCTTGGGAGAATGAATTTGAACTGCCTTTCAGGTCAGGGTCTGTATACTTTGGTATCTCAAAACACAGAAAAGTATTTTTGTGCTATTCGTGCTCAGAGATAATGAAAAGCTTAATTTTTAGAACCAGACCTGCATCTTTCATAAGCACTAACACCTTGAGATCAACATACTCTTGCAAGGCTTTTATTAACTGGGACATAGAATACATTGGAATGATTAAAATATCCAGCCAATTACTACTGAAAAAAAAAAAAAAAGAAAGAAAAAATGTATGTAATAAGAACAGATTTGTAAAGTGATTTAGAAAAATTAGGTGGCAGATGCCTGTGCAGTCTTGATGCTATCATGTTTTAATATGATCGTGAACAATGTTAAGAACAATAAGGGAGGTTAAATCAGCATCAGCCTGCATGGCACTGAACTGCAGTGGTTGTTGGCTGTCTTCAGCACAGTTATGCAATATTTCCTCCCCCACTCCTGATACTTTGCTAACCACTATTCAACAAAGAAGTAAAAACATCAGAAAATGTTTCTGAATTAACAATAGCTTGAATAAATGATGACTTCTGAGTTTTTACCAGCCTTTCTTTGTGAAGAAGCTTTGTGTGCTAATGCTTTCTTTGACACTATTTTCAAGACAGCACAAGGAACAGAAAGTCAGTGTTCTTGCATTCCCTATTAGACCCAAATTTTACCTCAAAAGTTGTCAAAACAAACTCTCAGCTTAATCCATTTTCCTTTTGAGTCACTGTTTGCACTCAGTTTCAAGTAGTCCTGACTTTCATTTCCTCCAAATTCAGTTTCAACACATCACATGAGTAACGAGGAAGACAGCAAAATCACATGCCCAGGGTTTTAAAGCTCTTTAGCTGTATTGTAGTTTATTTTATCTCCAGGACAAATATTACGAATAACTCAAGTTCTGCCTCAATTTTTATGTTATAGAAAACTATATAGTAATAAAAATACTGTTTAATGACAGAAGGTAATTCGGAGTGCATATGTGTTCTTTCTGAGAACCTTCCAGATCAGAGGTTAGAGTGGGAGAGATACCGTTGCACAGCTGGCTGATTGAGCTTTTATGAGTGTGGTTAACAAAGAGTGGGAATGCTGCACCACAAAGGATTTGCCTGGGGGAAAAAAAGATACCATAGGCAGAATATAGATGATTTGCCCAAAAATATGTGGTGATGGAAGGCATAGAACTGTTATAGTCACATTCAGTACATCTACTTAAGGACATAATGAAATTGCAAAACGATCTAGACATGGTTGGATTTTAAACCCTGCAGCACTGAAAGTGCCCTTGCCATCCAACCGCTATAAAAAAGCATGTGATCTACAAGGAACAATATAGTGCTGAGAACCATGTGGCCTGCTTCAGCTTTTCCTGTGCCAAATAATATCTTGCAATTAGGTATACTTTGGAAACAAATTAATGGCAGGATGACCAGAATAGCTTCCCATGTAGGTAACTGAAGTAGCAGAAAGTGGTGTTTTCTCTCCATGTGTCCCTCTTACTGCATTGGGTTGCAGTGTGAAAGTCAGCCTGAGAAGAAAGCAAATCACACACATATGCTCTAAAAGTGCCTTTTTCACAGACACCTCTCCTGTGTGAAATGAAGCTGCTTTTCACAAAAGCACAGGAGTGGGACCAGGTAGTACGAAGTCCACCTCATTTTTCTTCCCTTGAGACAAATACCTTAGAGGTAAGGATAAACCCCAAACCAATTTCCCTCTTACCAGTTCTGGCTTCATGAGGACTATTCATGGATTTACTTTAATTATCAGACTTCTGATGAGTAAGTTGGAAGGCCATTCTCCATATGTGGACAGAGATGGGCTACTCTAAGGGGTGATGTAGATACCTCCCGCATGACATCAGGCACTTAATTGAATCACCCTGATCAAGGGGAGAATTAGGTATCTAATCTCCAGAAGGCAACTCAGATGGCAAGGGACAAAAGCTTTATTTCACAAGTGTTTTTCTCTCCCTCCAACACCGCCCCCCACCCTGACCTCTCTGCTTCTGTCTCACTCTCTCTCCCAGCCCTGCTTTGATTACTTAAGGGAAATAGGACAGCTCTGCTTTCTGATTTACCCAGCTTGCTCAAACACCTAAGTCAGATGAGATAAAATTGGGTCTAGGCCCCTAACTTAGAGATCTAAAGGTACATGCTGAAAGGAAACAGTGTAAATACCTGCCATTCTAGTGTGTGATAAACATGAGCTCCTCGTGTATTAAGAAAAAATATCATTTTCTTATTGTCTTTGGCCATCTGCACAAACAAATCTCCATAAATATTCTCAATTAATGTATTTATCCCCCAGCTAAATTAGCAGCACTTTTATAACTGGAATGTTTCAACCAACAGCTGAGCTCTTTGTACTGTGTGTTCCTTTGTAACAGAGAGTCTATTGCTATCTTACTGAGTTGAGCAAATTGGAGACTCAGTTGTGCTGTAAATATAAACAGAATTAATACCAGCAACACGGATCTCGAAAAGCTTTAAAACCAGACAGGGTGGTTAGACATTGTCATGCAGCCCAAGAAGATGGTGGAATATATGGCAATGTAAGTTAGGGCTCAACTCTGTGAAGCCCAGCCTAACCACAGCCAATACTTCATGAGCTACTGTGGTCACCACTTGGACAGCAAATGCAAACAATGTAGTTTCTTTAAATAATAGAATTGGGCTTCTGAATCTTGGTAGTCAAATTTAGAACTTAGAAGCACAATGCTTCTAATCATCTGTGAAGCCAGGTTCCAGCCAGTGACAGGCTTTCAGAGGATACCACAGTGCCAAAACCAGAAACCTAACCTAATAGCTCATTGAAAATTTAAAAAGCAGAAGTACTTGGTTGGAGGCAATGCAAGAAAGAATGACAATGTGTTGAACTGAGTGACAAATTCATAACATGCTTTATCCTTAATGAAAACATAAATACTTTGTGAAATAGTAGGGAAAATGAAGGAATGCAAGGGGAAAAGGTTATATGTCTATTTTTTTGTGTGTGAAAGTATGTGTGGTATGTTCTCAGGGTGACTGCAAGAATTTAAGTGCTTTTTTAGCTGTGTGACTGCAGCATCACAAGTTTGTTCTGCTTCACAAAAGTTATAAAACTGCTCCATCTACTCAGGAATGTTTCTGACTCATTTACATAGAGCCCATGGCTACAATTTATGCTTCTCTCTAGGTCATTCAAAAAGAAAAAAAAATCCCATCACTGTGTAGGTAGCATCGGGAAGAGCTCCTGTGCTGTTCCTGACTGAAGTAAAGCATGACGAAGAGCACTTGACTGTCTCCTGAGAGCTCCTGAGCCTGTCTCCTGAGAGATCTGTGACTGAGAACAGCATCAGTGAAGGTCCGATCTTTGAAGAAGAAACAGCCTTCTAGCTTGGTAAGTTCTGCAACAAATACTGAGATTTTGGATAAGCATTTGACTTTTGTCACAAAACCTGAATTATGCTGAGTATAGTGTCAACCGCTTCAGCTTTAGAGTTTCAGAGGGGTTTTGAAGCACAGCCAAAAGCTGAGACTGAGAGGTTACTGGGTTTGCCTCTCTACACATTCTTCACTCTTTCATATTTTCCCATTAGTTAACCCATCTTGTATTACCACTTCCACGTGTCATGACACTTACTGCAAAATTAGCCCTAGCACATCCTTTGCAGCAGACCAGTAATTGAGGTCAGCTCTGAGCAAATCAATCCTTTGTCACTTCTGACCTGCCTCACTACAAATATATATACACATGTATGTTGGCTCATCTGATGCACTGCTAATGCTGTCTCACTCTCTTCCATAAACCAAAACTAATGGACAAATTAACAGACAACAGAATTTGGGAGTTTCAAAACTCACGTGAAGCATACTGGTGTGAAAATTATGAAGAAAACTTCAATGTGAACACAAGACCTTGCTTTCACATCACTGTTTCACAACTGAAATATTGCTTTGGATTGCTGAATCACAGTTAATAATGAGGGCTAAACTAGTTAACTAACACAGTTAAGTAAACTACCCTTATGGCAGTTTATTCTTCCTAGTGATTTACACACAGACCTGATGAGCAATGCAAAAGTTCTAAGCAAGGAGACTGTCTAAAAAGAGAAGCTCACAGCCACCGTACAGTAAGTTGCCATGGGAAAATGCTTTGTTGAAATAAAAAATACTATGGCAATCCTATTTTGAAAATGAAATAATTGCTAAAATTATAAATACTTCCACAAGGCAGAGTCACTTCAGACGAATGCTCACACAGTTGTCCTTGCCACAGTAATGAATTTGAGTCTGCACAGGCAGGGCCATTTTGGAGTCACAGATGAGAATCCAGTGAGCACCAAACAGAAGCTGAAAGAATGTGAGATACTCCAGCCAACCCGATCATCATTTCCAAGGTAATGGAGGGTAAAAATTAAGAGAGCAAGTGGTGGTAATGCCCCACTCAATTGTTCCTTCTTGATGAAAAAAAAACAAGGGGAAGGAGAGCTTAAATAACTCACAGTATAGCTACTAAATGTATGCCACAACAACACAGATTTTCTGACTCCCATCTTGCACTTTCACCATCAAATAAGCTTCTTTGTTTAAAAACTTCGAAAACATGTTAGTTCAAGTATGTTTATTGGTAGGCAAGCTTCTATTTCACTCTGGTCAAATTCCAAACTGAATAATTACAGCCTGTCTGCTGAAAACTCCCACCGTAATTTCATTTGGCTCTGCTGTTCTAAATTACCGTGCAGAATGGCTGCATGCTAAACAGCTTCCCTTGTAGAAATGGGCAAAGCAATTACATATGCCAGCAAAAAGGCTCCCCTGATCTATTTTAAAGTTTGAGAAGAACTTCAGATTTTACCTGAGTGGAAGAGGAAGTCATCAACAAAAGAGGTGATGTACATTGAAGCGTGTGTGCATACATACACAAACATATCCTGAACTTAACTAAATACGCTTACAATGCATGGTCTACATGAAAGCAATGTGTTAGAAAAAAATACCACAATAAATTATTTGAATTTGAATAGAGAGGAAAAAAATCAGGAAAACACATGCTTTTCATTATTTCCTTATTGTATTTTCTACAAAGATTCACGGACTATGGTCTCTCTAAAAAGCCACTATTCCACCCATACCCCCTCTGTATATACCAGCTGTGAATCACAAACTCATCACACGCCTTCCCAAGAAATTGCCTGCACTAACCTTTGTTGATAGGTGTCACAATATTTCACAGTGAAAAGCCACAGCATGTGTTGTAAATAGCAATAAGACTCAGTTTTGAAGATATTTTTCTTTTTATACTAGACTGGGAATTCTATCAAATGAAATGGTCTGAAGTTCACTGCTTCTGTATGGTTTATCAAGTGAACCGGATATAAATACCTCTGCTGCATTTATCAAAACACGAAATTGAGCAATAAAGTGAATTTTAGTGATGAGAAGGCACACCACTGATGGCCTTTCAGTACAGTGCCAGCTTCTCAATTACTCATCACTGCTCATCCTCAGGAACCCAAACAGGAAATTTCACTCTCAGATTTTACCTGCTCCCTTGACAATATCTGTGCAGTCTGTCCACACAATGCAGTCATTCTCTTCCAGCTGATGAACTCTGGGTATATCTATGTCAAACAGCAAAGTATTTTGATTGCAACACAGGCCTTTGAACTAAAGCTCCAGAGGAATGTTGGCACAGGACTAACAATACCGAGCAATTAGTTTAAGTGCTCTCCCACTGAAACGTAATCACCCTCCCAAATAAACCAGCTCCTACTCAAGAGAGCAAAGAGAAGGTGATTTTGGCCAGAAGTCACTTGGCAGGGGTCCTCCTCACCAGGAGGACTAAAGAGGTGCCACATTTGCCCTCTGGTGACTAGGTGTGAATGACCCCTCCTCGCCTCACAGGCAGTGGCCAACTGCATCAGGGAGTCTCCTGGCTTCTTGGTAGGGGTGTGGAACCTCTCATGGCTTCCCCTCTGAGTAAAAACAGGAGGCCTAGAAAACTGCAAAACTTGTTTGCTCTTGCATTCTGCAAGTCTCCTGAGCCTGTGAGCATGGCAGCTCTGAGAGTCTCTCCTAAGGGAGCCTGAGACTGGAAGCTAGATCAGGGCCCAGAACAGGGGGCTCAAAGCACCTTGGGCATCTGTATCTGAGTTACAGGCTGGTGAGTAGTCAACTGGAGGATCCTTCACTGCATTTTGTTGCACTGCTACCTTTCTCATACACTCAAAAAGCTCTGTTAACCTGAGGCTACACTAAACACCAGCAAGGGCAGAATATTATTACATCCTACCAGATGTTGGAAATGTACTGATATCTTTCTGTACAGTCAGATGAAGTCTTTGGTGAGAAAAAGCTGTTGTAAGGGTTTTAGTGAGACAAGCTGACAAGTGAAGAGCAGGATTTCAGGTTACACTGTGGCAATAGTGCTTATGTCAGAAGCTGCCACATACAAGGATCTTTTTCTATGCTGCCCAAAGGTGGGGGTTGTTGAGCCCCACAAAAGAGAAGTAAATAGCAAACATTCCCAAGTAACACCATTAATAAAAACCTCTTATTTCAGTTCTGGAATATTTTCCCTGGTGATACATCTGAAAGCATGACATTAGATGCAGAGAAGGGCAGGGTGAAAGGATGAAAGTGAGCCCTCCTTCAACTGCCTTTGCTTTAGAGAAAATGGCAGTCAGCACCATGCCCTTGGCAGATGTGCACAAAGGCTGGCAGAGCATGTGCCAGCTGGTCCTCACAAATAAGAAATGGGTAATGATGAACTGGACCTAGGAGAGCAACAGCAATGCAAAGAACTTGATGAAAGGCAAGGGCCAAATGCCTAAAAATGTTTTGCCAGTTCACTTTGGAGAAGCTAAATTGGAGCCTATGTACTGCATAACACTGCCTCTCTAGCTTCTGTGAAGAGGCACGTCCACGTGATTCAGACATTCATCACACCCCGGGCGCGCCTGTCTCCAGTCCATTCCCTTACACTAAAACAGGATTAACAGTAATTTGAACATTCATGACAGATGCCTCTTTAATACCTTAACAACAGCAATTTTACACCCTTCCCATAACCCGCTCTGGTCTACACTACACTTACAGCAAATAAGACAACAAATAGCAAAACCAGTCCCTGCTACATAACTGAGTTTTTCTGACACAAATGAGATGCACTACTGCTTGCCCTGTACTCAGCAAAAATGGAAAAACATCTAATTGCTATTTTGTTTTGTAGAATGATCTCCTGGTATCAATATATCACAATCTACTCTCTTCAGTACCAGAAAGCAGCTCTCTCAGAATTACAGCTGAGGCTGTTTTTCTAAGCCCTTGTAATTCCTCTCTGAACTTTCTTCATTTATTCTCATTTTAAATGTAGGACCCAAGCTGCACGTTCCCTCAGACGTGGCTTTCTGATGTCCAATAATAAAACACGACAGCATTAATTAAGCTTGCAATTACCCTCTAGTCAATTCTGCTGCCTTTTGCTGTCATGTGTTTGTGAATTAACTTTCACTCTCTAAGCATACCATTGTGTACTTCTCTTCATTGAACTGCCTTTTACCATTTTAAACCATTTGTTTGTTTACCAAAGTCATCTTGAATTTTGATCTTGTCTTCCACAGGGTATGTAATCCTTACCGTCATGTTTACGTCTATATAGATTTCCTCTCTCCCTCATCATTCACCGCTGATTAAAGTAGTGGAGGACTAGAACCATTCTTAACTCCCACTTTGAGAAGAAACCATTGGTAACTTCTCTGAATGCAGCCTTTTAACCTTCGGTGTAAATCCTCCTTAATCCTGTTTCTCTGGGTTTTCAGTCACATGATTTTGTAAAAATCTTACTCTAAAATCAAGATATAATATCCTACTTCTACGGCTTCCCTTTATCCTCTAAGTTGGTTAGACTGTCAAGAAAGGAAGTCTGATTGATTTAACATTATGTGAGGGTTGATAAATGGATGTTGGTTGTTTCTTACAAATCTAGAGGCCTGGAATTATTAATAATTTGCTTTGATATCTTTCTTTTAACTTTATAAATGTATTTTTAATCCATTCTTTCCCTCTTCACTATCTCCAGCTTTTCTTTTATTCATAGTCAATAATTCATGGTCACAGTTATGGGGTTTTTCTAACAGTGGAGACAAAGAAAAGCACTGAATGTTTCTGTCTTCCTCCTATTTTGTCCATTAGTTGCTTACTTCCCCATAAATAATGGAACTACATCTTCTCTAATCCTTCCCTTACTTCCATCATAAGGCTATTGATTAATAAAGCTGTGGCTGCATAACAACCTTTTCATGACGATAAATGTTCTGTGTTTCTCGGCATTCTATAAAACTTTAAATTGCTCTCAGCAGAATTTTTCAGCCATTGTGTATTCTCCTTGTAGTTCAGATGAACTTACCACATTTCTCAAGTTTGCTTATGAGAATGTCATGTGAGGCTGTCTGAAAAGCTACAACAAAATCCAGTGTACAGCTTCAACTGCACCTTCTTTAAAGGATTTTTTTCCATCCTCATCCACAATGAAAAACAACAGTGGTCTACTGTTGGTGTACACCTGAAATTAAGTGCTCCAAAACCAGAAGGCTTTTTAAATGATCCTAATGAGGCCAGCAAGGACCCCTAAATGACAGTGCTACCCTATAGCTTCCACCTCTTACTCAAAATGCAACAGGGGTGCTCAGAGCCTTTGCATTCCTCAATGCTTACGCAAGTACAATTCTGGTTTTTAAGTTGGGTGTCATTAGTGGTAAGCAACTCCCATCAAATTAAAGACAGATTATTAGAGAGAGGTGCAGCAAAGCTGGGTTGCAACTTTGGTACTTGTGACTGTTAATAAAACTGCCTGCCAGCAACTATGCTGTGCAGAACCAGGACTGCAGTATATTGGACTGTACATCAGAATATGTCCCATCTGGTTCTTGTGTGGCGTCTGATTACGTAAGTCTCAGGCATGAATGTGTCTGTTTACATGGTTATTTGGCCCCCTCCAACGTAGCGTTTTCCACAATGACAGTGGGCTAAGGAAGCAGCTGGAGAGCTGAGGCACAAGGGAAAAAAGTGTGCAGCCACACTGGCTGAGGCTGAGTGGGCAAGCACTGCAGTCTGGCCTCATAGTGCAGTCAGCCAGCATCTCCCCAAATGGCCCAGTTTCAGTACTTACTCCCTTCCGTTATTCATGTCCAGTGGTTAAGTTTGAAAGGTTACTGATGCCAAGACCAACTCATTAATTCCATGAGGTCAGTGTTCACATCTGTCCTGCACAGCCTAAGTACCAAGTTCTGTTGCATGAAATGGTCTTTAAAATGAAATGCATTTGAAACTACCCACATCTGTTTTTATTTTCCATTCCTCGTGATTCCTCTGTTCTGCTTACTCTTTCTGCTTTGTTGTTTGGCTTTACTGTTTTGTCTATTTGGCTCCCTGCAAGTGGATAATTATTCTGTCCTCATCCTCCAGGTTGTCTTCAAAATCCCTTAAAAATCTTCTCTCTCTAAACAACAGATTCTCTTTTCTCCTCTCTCCTGTGCTGCTGTCCTCTGCTTTACCTTCTGTTTATCTGCTTTGGCTTCTTTTCTTTTTACATGTCAAGCTCTTCATGCAAGGACAATGCTTGCATGTGTAAAACACATCATAATTCTATGATGTTGCATGAGAAACAGGAATATAAAGAGAAGGTTGTTCTTAGAATCAAGCTAAGCACATTTCTTAACTGTGCTGCTAGAAAGGAGAAACAAACAGATGATATGGCAAGACCCTGTGCCAGCACCTGATCAGTTCATGTTTTGCTTTCCCCAGCTGAGCAGGCAGTGAACAGCCATTGGAACTGCTTTTTTTTCCAGAGGCAGAGTGAAGGCAATGCCTTTGGGAGAGAGAGATCCATGCTCACTGACACATAACTTGTCTGAAAACCAAGCCAAGAAATACGCTGGTTTGGATTATGTTATTTCACTTTACTCTTATCAATGCTGAAATTTGGAGGAGCAAAGAAACAGCTGCTGCTTGCTCCACTTTGCCCAGCCATTCACCATAAGCCCCTCTTAGCTCGTCTTCTAGGCACATACCCCGCAGTACCTCCATATCTGACACTTTACTGTGAGAAGTTACTTTAAATACAAAAAGTGTATTAACCACAAGTACGTGGTTGGGGATGACAGATTGATTTTGAAGCTGGTTGTCTTTTGAGAGTGACATTTATTGATATTAATCCATGGGACATTTCTCCCAATATGCAGTTTTAAGCATCAAAACCAAACACAGCTGTCTTCTTACCAATAAATCTATGTCAGTAGAATGAAGAAGACTTGAAATTCTGGTAAGTGAAAACTTTCTGGCTGACTGGCCACCTGCGTATCTTCAATTCTAGTGAATCTCAAATTCCTGCACAAACAAATCACAATTACTTTCCCTGTAGATTAATCTATTTTTTTAAGTATTAGTATTACTCAGCTGTGCTTCAACATGTCTTAATTCAATGTAGATGATCCTTAATTTAGTTTCTAGGAGATAGTCCTTGAAATAGTGGTTGTCTGAAGTGGTAGAATTATCACATACTTTAAATGTCAGCTCTGCTGAGATAGTGCAATTAGGTCACGACTGATGTGGTTTTCTAAAATTCAAACCTAAAATTTAACCCTAAAAGGGGCTCTGTCCAAAAAATTCATCTCACTCCTTCCATACTAATGAAGAACACTGTGGCAGGAGGAATCATTTGTTGCATAATGCACAGATCTCTGAACACTACAAAACTAACTTTAAAGGAACATAAGAAATACAGTTTGGAGTTGCAGTAAGTTTTGTTCGAAATTTTGGTGTATGGGCTGATCATTGGTTAAGCAAACGAAGATGTCTCCAGGCAGAAAATTCAAGTTCAAGTCCCTGATATTAACAATAATCAGATGAAACAAAATATTAATGGCAGAATTGCAAATCTTCCTGGGAAATGCGCAGGATTTCAGAACTCTGTTTGCCTGAAGAAATAGTAAGTGAAAAAGCAGCTGCAAGTCACACTACTAAACAACTGGAGCCACAATCATGTGCTGTTTAAGTGCTTGTTTGGGATCCTTGTTCACTCACAAAACCAGTTTCGGGCATCCTAAGTGCTAAGTCAAAAACACTGAAGCAACAGAATGCAAATGTCTGGATCAGAGTACAGTTATTCAGCAGGCTCAAACTGACTTGGAAAAAAACAGTGGCTTTTTACCAGTAGATATTGCAAACCAGATATTATCTGTGCATACTGCAGTCTGGCTTTCCCACTGCTGCCTGTAGGCATTTTCTCCAGTTTTTCCGACCCTTCCTTCTTTCTTCAGCAAAAGGTCATTTTCCACATCTGATTATTGTTAAAATGCAAATTCAGGATCTGTTTTCTCTGTCTCTTTTGATCTTTATTAGAACCGGAACCCTCATCTTAAATATCATGTATCATATCACTCTTCCAGATTTTGATTTTGCTAGAAACTCCAGCACCTGATGGGACCATTAGTCACAGCCACAGGCTTTTGCTCTGCTATCAGCTATGAGCTTGCTGTTGCATACTGCTTCTACCCATCACAGTCCAATTTGGACTCAGATGGCGTTATTCATTCTTCCAGGTTTCTAGGGAAGAAGCCACTACAGCAATGCACAATGGCAGAAGTCCTGCAGCCCATGCAGGTGAGCATGACTGAAGACAAGTGAGCCAAGAACATTTCCATCCTTCCTTGCTGTGACAGCCTTGACTGAATCCAAGCAGGACAAAGACTAATTGTATTTTCTATCATTTTCCATGTTACTGATGGTGTCATTCGCAGAGCATCTTTGCTTCCCCTTAGCTCAAAGGCAGCGTGCTACCACCAGGAAAGAAGGGGCATCAGGAGCAAATGCTGATGTACTGCGGGAGAGCAGGTACCAATGGAGAAGTGTCATTTCAGTACAACACCTTTACACTTCAGCGGCACATCTAAGTTGATTCCACAAGCAAGAGCCAAAGCAGTCTGGCAACAATCCTGCTAAGAAGTTCACACTATGTGTCCTTTACACAGTTTTTTTTCTCTTTGTTGGGTCTTGAGTACTTTGCCAAAGGGCTGTCTCCTGTTAACAGCCATCCTCCTCCTGAGGCTAGCCGGGCAGCCTGCACAGTACATCTCAGACCCTAGTCCATCTGAGCTCCCTCTCCAGCTATACAAGACTGTGCAAGAGCAGAGAAGGGGGAGACTGTATACATGTGTACTGAATTGCCATAATCATGTCTGAACTATTAAGTAGGGCTTAATGTTTGTGCACAGCAAAGGGATGTTACTCTGGGTACATGAAATATTGTAGGTTATGATTGATTTCTAAACCTAGAGTGTTGGGTGTGTTTTTTTTTTTGTGAAATCACATCTATAAAATGAAAAGTACTGAAGCAGCAAACTATTTTGGTCCATGCATGTTTTACATTTCTACAGTACTGTGCTGGGATTAGCAAATTTGGGGATAGCTACAGTTGGAAGTATATGCAAAATGTTGCAGCTACCACAGTCATGTTAACTCAGCCACACTGTACAAATACAGCTCCCGCCACCACAAACGTGTGCAACAAAGGGAGGCTTAATTTCATTTCCACAGGCTGGGTGCCTAACTTGGCTGATCACAGCGCAACGGGTGAAGCACCAAGGCCCCTGGAGCAGTCCTGGATTGACTGCTACTTTCTCAACAGGGCATACAAAGACTGAAACAATGCACTTTGGCAACTGTTTTAAAAATGCAGTTGCTAATGGTGATCTAAGGCAGCACAGGAATCTGTGGCACAGTTTGGACCTGCAACTTAGCCTGTTGAGCATTCTGTATGGCCAGATCACTGTTCAGTACAAACTGGACTAACATGTGCACCATCAAAGACTTTTTTTTATTATTATTATATCCCCAGTTCTTAGCATTTTGATTCACGATATTTATATGGTAATATTGCAGTACTTGGAGCTTTGATAGTTTGATAACAAACTAATCACTGCCTTTTTCTATTTATCGTGCTGTTATCACAAATAAAATCCTAGCTGAACAAATAATCTCTCACACATTAAAGTAAACATAACAGAAGCAGAAGGAAGCACATTGGTACTAGTGTGCAAGCTCCATTTTCACTGGAGATAGTAATGTTTATAATGAGTAGATTTTCTTTAGAAAGCACTAAAAAATATTTCAAGGATTGCTCAGAGTCATTTGAAATGGTCTAAAATGACAAAGACTCCACACAAACAAGCAACACTAGAAGCCCACTATTAAAAAAAAAAAGAAAAAAAAAAAAAAAAAAGCAAATGTAAAGCTTCCCAACAAATCTAATAGCAAGGAGACCTTCTTGTTGACCTGAGTTGCACAGATTTTTCCTCTTCCTGCCATTGTGTAATGCTTTCTTTGGGGAAAAAAAAGAACAAAAAACAAACAAAACAAAAAAGAATGATGGTAAGAAGGAGAAAGGGGGGGAAGCTTTAATGAAAAGACTGCGACTGTTTCTTGGGCCTGGTACTTGTGTATCCACGTTGAAGTGATTTTGTCCTATGAATTACAAGATCACTCTGAAAAGGTCTGCTATTCACTAACTGACAATACTCAGACAACTAACAGCACAGCTATACTGTTTTATGTTAGAAGAACTCCCCATGATCTGAATTCTCTTTCTTGGATTGATTTTGTCTTTTAATCTATAGAATCATAGAACAGTTTAGGTTGGAAAAGACCTTGAAGATCATCAAGTCCAACCATCAACCCAGCACTGCCAAGTTCACAACTAAACCGCGTCCCTAAGAGCTACATCTACATGTCTTTTAAATACCTTCAGGGATGATGGTGCAACAACTTCCCTGGGTAGCCTGTTCCAACACTTGACAACCCTTTCAGTGAATAATTTTTCCCTAATATCCAGTCTAAACCTCCCCTGGCACAACTTAAGGCTATTTCCTCTTCTCCTATTGCTTGTTACTGTTTGGAGAAGAGACCAACATCCACTTAGCTACAACCTCCTTTCAGGTAGTTGTAGAGAGAGATAAGGTCTCCTCTGTGTCTCCTTCAGGCTAAACAGCCCCAGTTCCCTCAGCTGCTCCTCACAGGACTTGTGCTCTAGACCCTACGTAGTGTTGTGTGAGAGGGTGTAGGAATGATACTTTATGTATCATTTCTGTAGCTAATCAAAAATTAACAGGAATGATACTTTATGTATCATTTCTGTAGCTAATCAGAAATTAACTGGAATCTGGCTGCCTTGGACAACTGGTTATAGATTTCTTTGCTGCTTTCAGTAGCTTAAATTAAACCCAGAAGTTAGGAAGTCATCCAAATGCCACTAAATATGAACCCTTTCCAAACCTAGAGAAGGCATCATGGTTTAGATTCAAACCAAGAACAGTTCCAGTCCAGCTTCCCCTATATCCAGAGGCCACCTGCACACTCCGTGAGGTTGTTCACATAAAGTATTGATTAAGGATCACTTCTGCTAATGATTGAAAGTGATGACTACCCTCCAAGAGTAACCATATGGGTCTGTGAACAGATTTCATCCTAGCTCCTAACGGGCAGATAGCAAAGTCATAGAAGAGGACATTCAAATATCCTCTCAGCCCCTTGGGCAATTCTTGCTTGATAAAATAGAGACTGAAAGGACAAGGGGAGTCAAAGTAGTTCAAAATGCTGTTATACCACTTCAAACAGTAGGTTAAAAACCTTCCCTTCCAAGGCTTCAATTTCATCTTCTTCTTGTCACTTCAAATCTGTTTTGCAAGACAGTGACTGGGTGATAATGAATGCTATCCATTTACTGCTCCTGCTGAATATATTGATTCATTGTGCACAACACTTTGAAGATAAAGCACTATGTTGTTAATAAACACAGTCTAATGATTCTCTCGTGTTTTTTAGCACTCCTCTTACTTTGTCCAAGGTGTAAATACCTCAATGCAGCTATGGGCAGCCAAGCTGGCCAGCTGTATGGGCCACATGCTGATTTCAGCTGAAGGCTTTCACATCAATTGTTCAGTGGCTGTTCCCCTCCATTGCCAACACATCATGCTATCTCCTGCTCTTGTCTCCTTGCTTGCTTGTTCAGGACCAGGATAAGGGAATTTCAATGATTTCTGGTGAAAAGGGCCCTTCCTTTACAGCAGGCTGTCACTTCCCACTGCCTAATACACAAAGAAGGCAACCAACAGGAGCACAACCGCTTTCATTGGCTGCTAACAGCCTTTGAGTGGAACAGAATGAGGAAAAAAGAAGAAACACTAATTTCCTCTTCACTCTCCTCACCGTGCCTCGGAGAAACTTTAGGGGGGCAATTTTCTCCGAGGAAAGAAAGAACCTTCTTTTTCCTGGCCACAGGAGTGTGACAGAAGAGGCTGCTGAAATCAGCTGTTAGCACAGATTGATACGTTTTTCACACGTAAAAAGACCTTTCATTTAGTTTTCTCTCTCAGACTTCTGCAACACGTTTTGGAAAGACAATGAATAGTGAACTCCCATGTTATTGCAGGCATGCACCAGTTTAAAAGTATTCAGAACCCAGTAAAGCACCATGTGAAAACAAAGAAACAATGGGAAAATTTGGCTGCTGACATGAGCTGTCAGTGAGAATTAAACCTTCTGCAAGGCACCCACATCAACCTCACCTGAATTAAGAGAGCTGCTCTGCTAGCTGATAGAAATATCAAGCTCTTGGGAACTGACCCTGCCAGCACTTCAGCATGTGCTTTGTTTTAAACCTGTAAAAATACTCCCATTTGGGCTATCAATATGCAGAGTTAACAACATGCTGCAAATATTGGTGAGATCAAGACCTGAGTCCACTCCTCTACCAACCACCCCAGGAGACCAAACCTGCAGAAGTTTTCATCAGACATTCAGAGGAAAACAAGATTGTGGTTGTGAGCTCTTGCTGTTGTGAATAATACCCAAAGCAACTGAAAATGAAACAAAATGTCTCTTTCATTCTGGGTAATACACACAACAGTCACTTTCCTGCTCATAGGGATATATCACACAGAAAGAAAGATAATGAAATTATCAAAATCAGTAAGATGATCCTATGGGTCTTTTTCAGTCTCTAAAACTTCTACAGCAAGCGTTTGAACCCTTTCCCATGTCTGAAACACACCTAAATCTTTGCTCTGTTTTAATCCTTTGAGGCTTAACAACCTCACTAAGATCACATTTTTCCTTTATGAGGACACTGATTTGGCTACTTCTACCTCTATATTTTTATAAAATCTCCAGGATTTGAATATACATGAAACCTGAAATTAGGTTGTGGTTCCAAATTTATCATGGGGCAACAGATAAAAACCCAAACCATCACTGCATAAGCCTTATTTCCTTAGGAAAACATGATAAAAATAAGAACGTATGTCAAACCACAAAAACTGCTAAAGGATTCAGGAGCAGCTGCACTACATGAAGTTATTTTTCTTCCTACCCTTCCTTACCAAACTAGATTTAAATGGGCTGTATAGCAGTACTTACCATAAGGCTGTAATACAGCACTGTGATCCACAGTAGTAACCATTTTGAATACGATGCTATTAACACAGAGAAGTCATCTGTCTGTTGAAATTCCATCAAACTATTTTATTCTGAGGTCAAAAATGTTTTTTCCTTCTCCATCTGCTACAGTTTTGGAGATATATTGACTAAAGAAAAAAGTTCTAAACACCAGGCAAACCTATTTTAACAAGTATATCTATCACAAACCTAATGTGTTGGGTAACTGATAATGTTCATGTGTGCACTGCACTTGCCAAAAAATATCAACATTTCCAAATAGTTACCACATTTACAATTAAAATAATGTATTTGCCAAATGTTTTATTGTTTTTCTTTATTCAAATGATGATTTCTCTTCTGGTCAAAGTGCAGAGCAAAATTTCCTGAGTATCAGAAGTAAAACATTAGGGAGAGATTCTAATGTCTGATAGAGCCTCATTCAGCTCTCAGCCATATAATATTGCTTAGATAATATCAGGCTTGTCACTGTTGTAGGAGGCCTAACAGCATCCTAACAGGGAAAACCTGAAACGAAACTTAAAAATTTGCCTCTTACAAGTGTCCTGCTTCTCAGTTGCAATTCTCCCACTATTTCTCATGTTGCCTGATTTCTGGCTTCTGCTGACC